CCGGCCTCGGTGACCCTGTGACCTGCTGCGTCGGCCAGTGAGGAAGACAGGACCCGGGGCAGCATCCTGAGGAGGACAGTCTTGTGTGGATCCCACTCGGACGAGGCCCCTGGAGGACTCAGAACCAGACACAGGAAGTGGACGGTGGGGGAGGGGGTGGGGGAGGCAGGAGTGTTCAATGGGGCAGTTTGTTTGGGACGATGGGGAAGTCCTGGAGATGGCGGCGGCGGCTGCACAGCAGCTTCGAGGTACCCAATGGCGCTGAGCCGTGCGCTCAGAAAGGGGGAGGATGGCCGGCCGGCCTGGCTCCGGGGCTGAGCACTGAACTGTGAACAAGGAGGTCACAGGTCGACTCCCAGTCGGGGCACAAGCCTGGGTTTCAGGCTCGGTCCCCAGTGCGGGGCGTGCAGGGGGCAGCCAATCCATGATTCTCATCATTGATGTTTCTATCTCCCTCTCCCTTCCTCTCTCAGATTAATAAAAATCTATTTTTAAAATATGAGTAGATGCCCTGGCTGGTGGCTCAGTTGGTTAGAGCATCGTCCCGAATGTCAAACGGTTGTGGGTTCAATTCCCAGGCAGGGCACATAGCTAGGTTTGATCCCTGGTCGGGGTGAGTACAGGAGGCAATTGATGTTCCTCTCTCTCTCTCTCTCTCCTCTCTCTCTCCCTAAAAATGCAAAACAAAACAATAAAAACATATTCTTGGGAAAGAATAAAAAAAAAAAGGTAAGGTGGTCACCGTGGTGTGTATTTTACCACAATAAAGAAAAACACGTTCAATGTGTCTGCGGAACCACCAGGCGAGACCCGGGGCAGCCCCAGCAGCCCCCCCTTTGGAGCCGGGCAGGGACGGGGGTGCCCCCTCCACAGACGTATATGCCTCTTGTTGAAATGGCAGAAGTAGGAAACTGACCCCCTAGCCCAGCGGTTCTCAACCTGTGGGTCGCGACCCCTCTGGCGGTCGAACGACCCTTTCACAGGGGTCGCCTAAGACCATCCTGCAGATCAGATATTTACATGACGATTCATAGCAGTAGCAACATGGCAGTTACGAGGTAGCAACGAAAATAATTGTATGGTTGGGGGTCACAACATGAGGAACTGTATTTAAAGGGCCAGAAGGTTGAGAACCGCTGCCCTAGTCCTTAATTACACGGAAAAATACAACGTGAAACCGGGCAGAGAGAAAGGCGCTGACTCACACCAAGTGGAGGCAGTTCGTGGCCCAGAAACAGGGCCACGCAAACACGCTTGGCGGGTCCGTGACAGGCGCACACGGCTCTCCACGGAGGGGAGCGCCTGGTCACGCAGGGACGCCCCCGTCTCAGCCTCCCCCCGCACAACCACAACCATCGTCGACCTGAACCTAAGACACAAAATGGTGAAACTGCTCGAAGGAAACAGGAGACAATCTCCGTGATCTTGGGTTCAGCTACAAGCGCAGACACGGCTAAAGGCACCCCATCGCAACCACTGGCGACACGGCTGATCGCAGTGAACAGCTCCTGTCCGGGGCTGATGGAGAGCCAGCTGGGTGTGGGCTGGAGGAGGGACTCGCTAGTCACAGGTCTTACAAAGGATTTGGGTCGAAATACCTCACAGAGGACTCGCAAAACCCAACGGTAAGAGAAGGAGCAGCCCAGGTTTAAAGACGAGCCAAAGACGCCCCAGCTGGTGTGGCTCAGTGGTTGAGCGTCAACCTATGAACCAGGAGGTCGTGGCTGAATTCCAGGTTGAGGCATAT